TATAACACTTACAGTGTACGTATAAGGGATAAAACATGCAGGGATTTCTAACAAGATAGAGCATAATTATTGGAGGAGTAAAGTTGACAAGTATTTATTTCATAACCAGTTTGTAAATCATATATAAAACAAATAGTCAGGTATGAACGTTGTTATAAACAGGAGTCATGAGAGAAGCAGCAGCCTTGGGTTAATAAGGGTCAAAGGTTAGATGATTCATAATTAATCTAGTATGATTGTCAAGAACCCAGCACATGCATTTAACAATGATCTACATCATATGAGATTAGGCTTATATTAAACTGAGATAAAAGGGTTGATTTAGAAAGGCAGAGTGAATTTCATGCTGGTCGTATATATTGAAAAGCACTTAAAAAAAACATTACAAGAAAAGACAAAGCAAAGTATGCAAGTTACCAATATCCTCAGTGGGATATGGACCATCACCAGGTGGGAGAGAGTGTGGTAGAGGCCTGTGTTGCCAAGGAGGAACTGATTTCGTTGAAATAGGATCAATACTTTCATAGATAGTGTTAGATACCCAACCTACATAAGAAAAGAAAAACCCAGATATATCTCGATAGAAAGAATTAATGTTTAGTATTGGCTTTGAAGAAGGAAAGAGGTCAGTTCCTACAAACCATGAATAAGATTAACAAGAGCAATATTACTGTTATACATACTACAAAATACCAAATGTGGATAATGAAATGCTTTTTTAATTTACATCTACTGATTTGGCCTTCCAATTAAAGTCTGTGATAGAGAGGTAATATGTGTGAAATTAAAGAAGATGTTTCCCAAGTCACACAAATTAGCAGTCCTCCTGTAAGGCTTAAAGGGGGCACTGCTGTGAAACACTCACCTAAGGATACATTGCACGGTTTTGAGGGAACACTGCTGTGGAACACTTATCCAAGGATACATTGCAAGGTATTGAGGGAACACTGCTGTGGAACACTTATCCAAGGATACATTGCAAGGTATTGAGGGAACACTGCTGTGAACACTTATCCAAGGATACATTGCAAGGTATTGAGGGAACACTGCTGTGAAACACTCACCTAAGGATACATTGCAAGGTATTAA